ACTGCTGCCTGTAGTCAGAGGTGCAGTGTGTCCAGGAAAGGTGGTGGAGAGGTACGAGGTTGATGGTGGTAGGGCAGGACAGAGCAGGGCATGGGCAGGTGGCACAGTGTGGGATGATGGGACACAGCAGGACCAGTGGTGCCTGGGATGTGCCTGCCTGAGTGCCACATGGCCACCATGCCCCTTACCTTGTGCCAGCCCCGCTGGGAGGTGGCCGGTAGAAGAGCTGGTGGGAGCTGTGGGGCTCTGCGGGATCCCAGGTCCACTCGCAGCGCACATTCTGCAGGTCAGGGGTGCTGCAGCACAGCCCGATGTCTCCTGGGCAGGCGAGAGCCAGGGCGGGGAGGGGGCTGCTTCCTCTTGGCCCCCCAAAACTTGGGGGTGCTGCACCTCGCCTACCCCAGGCCCCCACCCCTCGCAGCCCCAGGCGTGGGTGCCTCCCCGCTGTTCCTGCCAGCACGCCGGCAGAGGGGGTGGCTGCTCACCGGAGGAGCGAGGTGTCTCCGCAGCCACTGCCTGTGACCAGGGCCCCCAGACACCATCCATGGAGGTGCCGTCGGGCTTGCTGCGCACCTGGATGTGGTACCTCACCCCTGGCTGCAGGTCCCGGAGCACCACCCAGGTGTTGGCCTGGACCAGCCCCTGCAGGAGAGGGGCCGGGCTGAGGAGCAGCTGCAGCCCCCAAATCCCCCTGCCCATCCCTGGCCTGTCTGTGTACCTGCCCCACTCCCGGGGAGGCTGTGGCTGCCCCGGCCCTGGGTGTTTGGGTGCTGACGGCTGACTGGATGGAGGGATCCCCAGGGTGTTCCCCACTGGGGTTCCATGTGGTGCTGCAGGGCATCCCTGGGGAGCTGGCAGGGCAGCACTGCACCTCGTAGAGGAAGAAGTTCGGGTAGTCGGCAAGCGGTGGCTGCCACGACACGCAGATCTGCCCTGCAGCCCCAGCCCAGCGGGCTGTGATGTTCACTGGAGGGGCGATGAGACCTGCAAGGAACGTGCCAGTGTGTTTGCCCTCCTGCTGCAGTCCCTGCCTGGGCAACCCCTGGTCCTGCTGGGGGACACTTGGAGGCCCCTCCAAGGCTGTCTCTGTGCCCGGCATGCAGGACACAGGGTGTTGTCAGCCCCCGTGGTGAGCAGAAGGTCAGGGCACCCAGAAGGTCTGGGGACTGTCCTGGTGTCACAGGGTATTACCCAGTAAGAGGGACTCACCCACCGCCTCCACACTGAGCTCCCGCTGGTGCTTTGTCTGGTTTGTGGTGGCATCCAGGACGTGGAGGTGGAGCGGGGTGAAGAGCCGCACATCCTGGCTGGGGAAGACGCAGACATGCCGCTTCCCACCAGCCCCTCGGCGCCACGTGGAGACCACGCATGCTGTGGGCATATCCCTGAGGAATGGAGAGCGGGTTCTTGCAGCACCTCATATGCCTCTTGCCTCGGGCCAATCTGGAGGAAAGGGGATGTGGGGCACAGCACCGAGACCTCAGTGTCACCAGCTCCTTTACTGTGCCACCACCCACTGCAGGACACCATCCCCATGGCACTGAGGGATAGCCAATGTCCCAGCCCTGCTGCAGGGTGTGCAATGGCTGCTGTGTAGCATCTGTGGGCTCTCCACCGTCTCTCCTTGCAGCTGGGAGCCACTGGGATGGCACAGATTGCTGTGGCACCCTGACCCTGCTGCTCCGTGTGCAGGCAAAGGGGAGGCTGGGCTGTGTCCCCACCACCTCCTACCTGCTGTACCAGTAGTAGAAGTGGCACATCCCACTTGTTGCCTCCTCCTCCTCCTCGTTCCAGAAGCAGGTGAGGTCCTCGAAGGAGCGGGAGAAACAGAGGATGTCCTCGGACACCCCTGCCAGCAGTGCAGCATCTGGGAGGAGTGTGGGCATGAAGGAACCCCTGGGCACAAACCTGTCCCCATCCCACCTGCATCCTCCTGCCCCATGCCTGCTGGCCACCTCACCCCTGAGGCCAGGCTGTGTAGGCACCCGGGGCAGCCTGGGCATGGCCGTGGCACAGGTGCCTCCACCAGCTTGGCACGTCGGGGAGGGATGTCGCACACGTTCTGGCTGCTGGCTGGCCCTGGGGTCCTGGCTGTGGCAGGGCTCCTCACCCTCCCTCTGCTCCCCCCTCCTCAGTACGGAGGGTCCTTCAGGACAAACAAACATCCCAAAATAGCCTTGCGGTCGGAGGGGGGCTCAGGGCCCAGCGATCAGGGGGAAGCACCCCTGCCCTGCTCATGCCGGAAGGTGCACGGAAGTGAGATAAGGAGGAGCAGCACCCCAGGGAGAGGGAAAGAGCCTCGGGGCTGGTATGGGGGCATGTGGTCCTGAGCAGGAGGGGATGCCCAAACCCTGGCCCAGGGACTGCAGGGGGCTGTGGGTTTCTCTGCCCCCCTCAGCAAGCCGCCTTCCCTGTAGTCGTGTGGATGAACTGGAGCATCACATCCTGCAGGGTTTCTGTCCCAGACACTGGTGGCTTTGCTGGCCTATGGGCCCCTGCCCCTGTTGTCATGGAAGAGGGGACAGATGCAGATGTGTGATGCACAGGGGTGGTCTCACTGCCCCCAGAACTGCTCCAGCACTCCCTTCTCCCCCACTGCCTCTGCCCTGAGACCTGTCCAGCCCTCTTCCTCCTCATCTTCTTCCTGTCCTTCCTCAGGGGCTGTCCCCAGCTGTGGGACCCAACAAGCCCCCTGCCAGTACCTGGCTCTGCTCCCTGTGCTGAGTGCATCCATTCTCTGCTGTGCACCCTTTACACTGCCAGTTGAGTCCACCCTGGGCCAAGAATAAGTGACAGTCCCCAAATGTCCCTGCCACCTTCTTGGTGCCCTTCTGCTCTCCCTGTCTCTGCTCCTTCCCTGACTCCCCAGTCTTGTTCCTCATTTCCCAGCCTTGTGTTGCCTTCCTCCCCCTGCCCATTGTCCCATCTACCCCACAGCCCCCCCACCTGTTCTTCCCTTTTTGCCCCCCATTTCCCACCCCAGGCCTCGTGCTGGCTCCATGATCCCCCCCCAGCTCTGAGCACCAGGGGATAAGGCGGCCAGGTCCCAGCAGCTCAGTGGCACAGGGACCCATGGCACTGATGGGAGGCCACACTGGTCCTGTGGGCTACCAGAGCATCTTTGCTGCACACAGGCCATGTCTTAGGAATAGTGGCCACCCAGCTCTGCAGCCCACGCCAGCCATGGCACTGCTGCCAAACTCGGGCTCAGGGCATGGGGATGTCACCGAGGCTGTGGGCAGAGAGGATGAGCCCAACCCTGACCCTCCTCCCACTGTCCCTATGGGGGTGACTCAAAACATGCTCTGAAGGCCACCCTGGCCAGACACCCAGGGTGGGTCTGGAGAGATGAGCAGGAGATCAACAGGACTTTGTTCAGTTAATGCTTCTTAATGGTGTTACAGAAAGTGTTAAAGTGGCTAAAGAGGGGCTCAGAGAAAGCATGAGCAGCCCTGAAATGTGACAAAGTCATGAAGTGACTCTGCCAGGTGCAGTGAGCCAGGCTGGGGCCAGGTTGAGGATGCTTGGCAGGGCAAGATCATGGCAAGGCTGGTGCAGTGCCACTGCATTACTCATGGTGCAGAGCTGAGCTGAGAGATGTTAACTTGAATTTTGCTCAAACCCTCATTACATCATAATTATAAGAACTTTTGAGGAGCAGGGAGCCCCTCTGCTACCTGTATGGGACTCGGAGCACCAGTCTGACATCCTCAAGAGGCCCTGGGGCTACCAGGTCCTGCTTGCAGAGAGCAGGGATGTTCCTTTACTCTGAACACCTCAGGGTGTCCCACAGGTGAGAAGGGCACTCCACTGCCCACCCCGAACACCCCCTGCAGACCCTCCTGGGATGCCCCTTCCCCATCCCGCAGATTTTGGCTGTTGTGAGGTGCTCACTGCCCACACCTGACTTGCCAGCTCTTCTCTGGCCCATCCTTTGGGGGAGGAAATATCCCCAAGGACCTACCTTGGGATGTCACCGGCTCGGGGGCTGGCGATGGGCTGCGGAGGCTGAGCAGGATGGCCGGGATCAGCGAGAGCAGCCAGCCCCAGCACAGGCAGGCTGCCATCCTGCAACCCCCGTGCCGGGGCCACACGTGCCGTGCTCGGCCCTTCCCAGCGCCCCGGGAGCTGCTGTGGCTCCTCCAGGCGATACTTTTTATCTGGGAAGTGGTGGTTGTGCAGCTCAGGAAGCCTGGCTGGGGGCTCCCCCCACCTCATCGCCAGCACTTCCCTGTGCCCGAAACCACCACGCCGCAGCCCCTCTGCCGCCAGCCGCAGTGCCAAGGGAGACTGCTCCTATCAGATAGGCGGCATGTCCTGCCCTTGTGGCTACCGGCACGCCGGGGGGCTGGGGTAGGAAGAAAAACAACCCGGAGAAACCAGGGAGGCCCCTGCGTGGGGCAGGGCAGGCTGTCGGGGGCTGCTGCCATGTGGGAGCATGGGACGTGGGACACTGCTCTGGCTCCATTGTGTCCTGTGCCACCTGGAATCTGGTGTGCCCTGGGTCTGCTCTGCCCCCGGCCCCGTGGCTGAGCCGACAGGAGAGGTGCAGGCACGGGGGGCACTGGCAGAGCCCGCACAGTTGCTGGTGGTGCTGGTGCGGGAGCAGGGCCACCATGGGGGTGTCCCATAGTCATGCTCAGCCTTGTGCCAATCCACCACTGCTGCCTGGCATGGGTGGCCGGAGGGTCTCCCACCCTGCCAGGGCACAGCACAGTGGCACAGCCTGGGGGACACCAGCCAGGGCACAAGAAGCCACTTATACGTGTGTCCCCACCATGCCAAGGGGCTGGCTCCTTCTGTTCTCCATATCCCTTTGGGACAGGACCAAATTTTAAATTGTGTGTGGGAGTGAAGATCTCAGTTGGATCCTAAGAAAACCCATCTCCATGGCATGATGAGACCATGGCCTTTCCTGGGGATCATCAGAGTACTCCAGAGGGGACAGGTTTCTGAGGAGTGCCCACCGCAGCAGCAGACCACTGGGCCCCCACATCCTGTTCCACAGTGCTGTCAGCAGGGTAGAGCTGGGTCCCCACCACCACTCCTCTGTACTCAGCTGCCTGTTGCACGATGTTTATTGTCCGTAAGGCAGAGCTGACACCTCCAGAGGGTCACTGCAGAGCTGGAGGCTGTGCACAGCCAAAGCCATCCCTTTGCACCCACCAGGGTGGCCCCATCCCACACCGTCAGGGATGCTCACAGCCCTGCTGGCACCACTTCAGGCCCAGAGCACACTGAGAGTTGCAGGGTGGGCAGATGCTGGGTTGCTGCTTCCCCCTCTTGCCCCAAAGCTTGAGCGTTTGTGTCCATTGGGCTCAGGCTCCTGAGAGCCCCTCTCCTGGCCAATGTGCTGCAAGCACCGTGCTGCTGCTTGTCCTTGGGGGCCATCCCAGCATGTCCCCCAGCAGCGTGGGGCTGTGTGGGTGGCTGATGCCATGGCAGTGTGGCCAGCACACGCTGCGTGGGCAGCCAGGGAGGAGATGGCAGAGTCCTGCTGCAAGGAAGGTGCTCTTGGAAGGGACACCAGCATTTGGCCACTTGGTCCTGGATGGGGATGAGCAGCCCATTGTCCCCACAGCACTGTCCCTGCAGGTTGGTGCCAGCATCACCCCTCTGCACAGTGCCAGTGCAGCCTCACGCCTCCTCGGCCGTGGCATCGATCCCTGCGTAGGTGAAGTTCTCGAACAGGGCCATGTTCACGTAGGCCTGTGGGGCAACACCAGTTAGGAGCCATTTGTGACACTGCCCGCATCTACCTCCTATCCCCACTGCCACACTCACAGGCACTGTGCCCTGGGGAGAGGCAAGAGGGCTCCCAACACCCAAAAAGTGGTACTGGGGTTACCACCACACATGGTGGGTGTCACACAGGTTCTGCCGCTGGCTGTCCCCTCCTCAAGCCCCAAGGGATGCTCCAGCATGTGGACAAGCCCAGCACAGGATGGGCATCTGCCATCACTCACCTTCCTGGCCTCCAGCATGCGGATGAGCTGCATGGAGATCTGGGCAAAGGGCGGGCGCTCGTAGGGGCGGTCACGCCAGCACTGCCGCATCAGCTCGTACCTGGGGGCAGAGAGTTGTGGGTGGCTCAGTGTCCCCAGGGGGAGAGGGGAAAGAAAAGCTCTTTGTGGGAGATGGGGGGAAGCAGGTGGAAAACTAAAGCCCAGGAAGGGTGTTTGCTATGTGAGACCCCAGCTCGTCACACAATGCAGAGGAACCAGGCAGAAGCTACTGCAAGGTGGTGGGAGCCCTGTGGGGGAGTGGGGTCAGGGGTACGTGGGTGCCACGATCAGCTGAGGCTTTGCCCACTTACACCTCGTCGTCGCAGTTACGCGGCTTCTCCATGCGGTAGCCCTGGGGCAGCTTCTCGTAGAGCTCGGCACACGTCATCCCGCAGTACGGTGTCCCTCCTGCAGCCAGAGACACACAGCTGAGGTGGGGACGGTCCCCAGGGTGTCCCCTCCAGGGCTCCAGGAGGACCAGACCTACAGGGACCCGAGTGGAGGCAGGGGACACAGAGAAGTCTTACCCAAGCTGACAATCTCCCATAGCAGGACGCCAAATGACCACCTGAAAGGGCAGATGAGGCTGTGACAGTGCCCAGTCGAGCCCCGCTGATGGGCACGGGACAAAGCCCAGGGTGGTACGGGCAGCCAGGGCTTGGGCTGAGCCAGCAGCTCCCCAGGGAGATGCATCAGCATCACCTCCTGCCCTTGCAGCACCCAGAGCAATGGCATTGCCACGCTGACTGTGCCAGGGAGGGCAGGAGGCAGCCCCAGCCCTGCCCCAGCCCCGGTGCCCCCGCCTACAGGACTTACACATCGCTCTTGGTGGTGTACACGCTGTAGTTCAGGGACTCGATGGCCATCCAGCGAACTGGCAAACGGCCCTGGGGAAGCAGAGAGAGACTGTCAGGGGTGGGGGGATGCCCTGTGGATGGAGGGCAGCTGGTCCCAGAAGGGTAGGTCCTTCACGCTGGTGGTGGGTGTCCTGCCCACCATATTGGTGCACACCCTACGGAGATGCTTCACTCCTGCCTCACCATTGTCTTCTTCACATAGACCTCCTCCCCTCTGGAGAGGCCAAAATCAGCAATCTTGGAGGCCAGGTTTTCTCCCACCAGGATGTTTCTCGCTGCCAGGTCCCTGTGAATGAACTGAAAGGGGCCAGCAGTCAGCAGGAGCCACATGCTCCCTCCTGCTGGCCCCAGGGACCTCATGCCCCCTTGGGGAGCCCCCAGGTGTGGGGGAAGGATGCTCTGAAGAGCTTGCTGGGGATGTACCTGCTTCTCACTCAGGTACTGCATCCCCTTGGCCACATCTGAAGCAAACTGGAGGAGCTGCTGGGAGGTGAGTGTGGAGGCAGTGCCGTGCTCCTTGGCAAAGGCTGGGTCTGTCTCCAAGACTCGGCTTTTGCGGAGGAAGTCGAGGAGGTTTCCGTAGGGAGCGTACTCAATGGCGATGTACAGGTAGCCTGGGGGACAGGAGGCGGTTGGGCTACTGAGGCCTCTCCCCAGAAAAGAGGAATACAGAGCTGGGCAGAGGCTATGGGGCTGGGGAGAGGGGAACAGCCCTCACCCTTGTTCTCGCAGGCACCCAGCAAGTTGATGATGTTGGGGTGATGGCCCAGTTTGCACAGCACCTCCAGCTCCCCAGCGAAGTCCCGATGGTCATTCTCTGAAGCAAACTCTGGAAGCAAAGAAGGGATGGACACCTCAGGCCTACAAGTGCCCTTCCTCTGCTTCTCTGCAAGTGACTCCTGACTCTACTCAGCACGAATATGGCCCAGGATGCACCTTCATCCCTCAGCCCATCCTGCTCGTCTCCCCTGACACTCACCTTTCAGCATCTTGATGGCTGCATTCATTTTCAGACCGTCCTTTTTGATCATGGCCCTGATGACCTGCCCGAAGTTGCCCTCTCCGATCATGTCCTCAAACTTGATGTCTTCCCACTCCAGGATGGGGTAGCTGAGGGGCTCAGGCTGCGGCTTGGGCCGGCGTGTCAAGGTCAGGGTCCCCGAGTTGAACTGCAGGATGGTCTCTTCCCCCTGGCAGATGGGAATGGGTGAGGTTAGAGGCACCGGGCACCCCTCTGCCCATGCGGCAGTCCCGGGAGGGCAGGAGTCGTGGGCAGGGGTGGGCTCCGCACCCTCTCTGTGTGGAAGTGAGGTCTGGCTGCATCCGGACTGGAGGCTACGGAGCGTGACCTGGATTGGGCTGGGACGTGGGGAGCAGGGGACACGGTCCTGGTGGGGCAGGCGGCACTCACCGAGCCAGACTGGTACGTAAAGGTGCGGCGCCGGTGGAAAAAATTCTTCTTGATTAGGAAAAGCGCCAGGAGAGCAAAGAGGATGGTGAGGCAGGTGACGGACACGGAGCCAACGATGGCCAAGAGCAGCTGCTGGTCTATTCCTGCCTGCTCAGTGCTCTGGCTGCCCAGGCTGGGCGGCACGCTCAGCGCTCCTGCCAAAAGGAGGGATGGAGGGTTGTGGTCCCAGGTCAAGCCCTGCCCAACCTGCATGAGTGGCCAAGCACCAAAATAGACATCTTCCACCACCCAGGCACACCATGAAGATACCACAATCACATTCTGAGCTCCTGCTGCCACAGTGATACAGGGGGGAGGGTGTAAGCACCGAGGCCCTGCCTCTGAACCACTGATTTCTGCACCTTCAACCAGATTTGGATCCAGCCACCACCTCCTCCCACACCAGCTCTGCTCTGCTCCTCTAGCCCCTTGCTCCACATCTCCCTCTAGCCATGGCAGAGCCACTCTGTAGGTGCTGTGCTGTCACCATGCCACCCCTGCCCCATCAGGACTAGGAAGAGCAAGTTTTCTGGATGCCCACAAGAGTTTTTGGCTCAGGCTGCTGCTTCAGAGCCACTCTGAGAGGTCACCACAAGCACCTCAGTCATTCTTTGCTGTCCCAGATTCTGAGCCCAAGCTGCAGCAGAGCTGTGAGCCCCCTGCCTGCTGGGACACCCCTCTCACCGTCTCCCAGAGTCTTGGCTTTCAGGGGCTGGCTCCATTCCCCTGGGACATGGGAGTTGGCGCGGACACGAAACTGGTAGCTGGTGCTGGCGTTGAGGCCCCCAATGACCTTGGTGGTTTCGGCGCCGCTGTCAGTGTCAATCCACTGGGGTTCACTGGTGCCCCCCACCTGCTGCAGCTCCACTATGTACTTGGTGATGCCCCCATTGGGGTACTCAGGGACCTGCCAGGAGAGCCTGACAGCGGTGTCAGACACGGAGTCTGCCGAGAGCAACCGCGGGGCAGAGGGCCCTGGGACAAGGAGAGCAGAGCGTCAGTCCCTGTGACGCCTAACTTTGGCTGAACACCTGCTCCTGCTCCTACAAGTCCCAGGACAGGTCTCCTGGTGCTGCAGGGGCTGCTGTGAGGACTAGACCCTGTGGATGGCAATGGCAACCAAAGCTGGGCCAGGTTTGAGGGGCCTCCAGGGACCCTTAGCCCCTGCTTGGATGAGAGGGAGCTGCTCTCCATGTACAACAGTGGAGCAGGACTGTGCTTCCAAATGCTCCCAGCCTCAGAGACTGTCAAGCTAGATGCCTCTGTATTGACTAGCCCTTGTGATGTTTTTTTTTCTTCAGCCCTCCCTCATACACTGTTTTCCCACCACCTCCTCTGAGTCTTCTCCTGCCTGTTCACAACCCTAATCCCAAATCCCCATAGAAAGCTCTTACAAACAGGGAGCAGAGGAAACCTCACATCCCTCAAGCCTGATGCCTACCAGTCCTCTCAACATGTCCCAGCCAGTGCCAAGCCTCACCAAAGGCCTCGTGCATGCCTTCTCTCCTGGTTGCCAGAGAGCTTGGTCAGGCTGATGCTCCACCTTCCCAGAGTCTCCCACCTACGTGGGGGGCTGTGTGCATGTGTGTGTGTGCCCACAGGTGGGAGTGCAGGGCTCCCCAGGCCCTAGTGACCATCCAGCAAAATTACCTGGCAGCAGGGTTAAAGTGAACCAAAGGGAAATATTTTTTTCATGCCAAGTATAATTATATCGAGGAACTTGTGTTGCTACAGAGTGTTGTAAAAGCTGCAAGTATGGACAGGTCCATCAGGATTTGGGCAAGAGTGCAGAGGACAGATCTGTTTGTGAGCGTCACTTGTGATGGCCTGAATGTCATGTTCAGCTTAGGATGTTTCTCAGCTGCTTGGTGCTGGAGGCTGCAGGGTCTAGCAAGGAAAGGAGGACCCATTTTTCCCAAGCAGCAGTTCATGTTCTATCAGAGATGGAATACAGGAGCAGCCAGACCTGGGGATGGTTTCTGTTACAATTATAACTGATTTACCATTGTAATTCCCTGTAATAATTCCCTGTGTTCCACTGGACCCACCTTTGCTGTTGATCATGACCTTATAGGGGTCGGAGGGCGGGCCCAGGCTGGTGCAGTGGTACACCAGCACCTCCAGCCCATACTCCTTGTTGAACTCCAGGTCCCCGAGGCGGGCAGAGAGCACAGAGATGGATGTGATGTTCTTCTCAGAGACCAGGCGCCTTGCAGAGTCAAAGAGGTGGACTATGAAGCCGTGTGCTGGCTCGTGGTTACTTGGCAACTTCCAGTTGACATGAAGCGTGTTTTTCTCTTCTATGGACCAGCCTTCAATCACAGGCTTGACTGTGGGCTCTGCAGGCAAAAACGCAAAACCTCACAGCACATCAGCTCTTGGGCTGCAGACTCTGTGCTGTGAAGAGTTAGGGTCAGGGTCAGGGTCAGGGAGATGGAGGCTCACCAAGGCACTCAGTCACCATGATGGCTTCAGGTCCCTTGCTGCCCTCCCCACCAGCCCCTGGCCGGCTCAGCTGCACCTTGACAATGTAGGCAGTCACCGGCCGGAGGTTCATGAGGGTGATGTTCTCACTGTTGTCGACTGTTGGCCAAGAGGACACATCAAAACCATGCCCACGACCCACAATCTGCCCTACCACCAGGCATTCCCCTCAGCATCACTACAGGGGGCCTGGTATGGAGACCTCTTCCCACCCCAGACCTCCACTGGCTGGGGCACCCATCGCCTCCCACACAGGTCCTACCTGTGCCCCCCAGCCCTGCAGACACATACCCACAATGGATGACCATGCTGAATTGTCATCCTTGGGCTTGTAGAACAGCTTGATGGAGGTGATGGGTCCGTCACCAGAAAAGTAGTCCACGGGTGACACCACGAGCTGGCGGCTCTGCTTGGCCAGCAGCCGGGGGGGGCTCAGGGGCGTTGGTGGCACTGTGGGGGGAAGGAAGGAATGACACTGGTGTGACTGGGAGCAACAAGGAGCAGACTGTGGAGACATCTGCCACCTCTGGACTCCCTCCAGCTTTGTCAGGAAAGTCTTTTATAACCACCCAAACCTGTCTGCTGGCACTGCAGCATATGATGGGAAGCACCCAGTCCAGTCCAGGGGGTTTGGTATTGCCTCACTGTGCTGTCAGCCTCCCCCAGCAACCCTGGCTTATCCTGCTTGTTGCCACCACCCTTTCCTCACCTCGGATGTTGACCTTGACTTTCCGACTGTCCTGGCCCCCGGTTGTGGAGACCCGGCATTCCCAGAGCCCTGTGTCCTCCTTCCTCAGGTGCCGCACCTGGAACTCGCAGGTGATCTGTCCCGGCTCGATGATGGCCTTGATGAGCTGTGGGCACAGAGGGTGCTGTGAGCCCCCCTGCCCAGCCCCCTGGCTCAGCCCCAGGGTCAGCCTGAAGCTGTCCAGCAGCCCTGGGGGAGACAGGTGCTTTTGGGGGAGCTGGCACCACGGAGATGGTGGTGGGGCAAGAGCGCGGGTGGTACCTTGAGCACGGTGCCGTCAGCCTTGCGCAGCTCCACGCTGTCACTGGTGGGCAGTGGGTTGCCAGTGGCCACGCAGCTGACAATGGGCTCTGAGCCCAGGTTGAACTCCAGCTCTGAGGCCAGCTGGATGATCTGGGGGAACCGGTCTGGCACAGAGAAATCAGCGTTAGGGCTGGCCCTGCCCTTCCCCAGGCATGCCAGGCTAGCAGCTGTCCTCAGACCTGGCCACAGCGTGCCAAGGGGCCAGGGAGACAGATGCTGTGTCCAGCCCTCATCCCCACTCAACATGCTGGGCTCAGCAACACTATCAGCACAGCTAATCCTGGGTTGCCAGACCAGATGTTCACCTTCCAGTGCCCTGGTTTCCATAGGGTTGAGGGCTATTTCTGCAGGCAAGGGGTCTTGCTGAACCAGCTGGTGAGGCCAACAGCCATTGGCCCTCCCAGTCACCAGTGAGGAAGGAGCCAGAGATCGCTTGAGGGTGTGGGACGGACACCTGCCACAGCCCCCTGCCAGCCTCACCTGACTTCTCGCAGTGCTGCCCATGCCAGCCTGCCGGGCAGACACAGCCACTGAAGCGGTTACAGCTGCCTCCATTTCGGCAGGTGCACTCCAGGGCACAGTCAGGGCCATAGAATCCGGGGGGACAGGCTGTGGGAAGAGAAGAGCTCGCTGCCACCCCTGGCCACGGCACAGGACCACGGAGACAGAGGCAGCAAGCAGCTGGTGCAGGCAGCAGCACTGCTCAGCCCGTGCCGACCCTCAGACTGGGAGAGGTTTGCACAGGTGCTCCTGGAGAGCAGCCAGACCCTGGAGGAAGCCCAGGCTGGGTGGGAGAGCCGATGGATACCCGTGTTCCCGTACCTTGGTTGCAGCGGGAGCCGCTCCAGCCCGAGGCGCAGGAGCAGCCGTAGGGGTCGGGCAGGCAGAAGCTCAGCCCCCGGCAGCCCTGGGCTCTCTGGCATGTCTCCTGGCAGTTGCGGCCAAACTGCCCTTCCCGGCAGGCTGGAAAAAGAAGCGTGGTTTGCCCTCACCTGCCATTCACCCATGCACTGCTCGGTGCTGGCTTGGGTGCCCCAAGCCCCGTTATCACCACCTCGAGGAGACACAGGACCCCCGTGGATGGTCCAGCCCTGCTCCAGAAACAGAGGGCAGTGCAGGTGGGGGTGCACAGGGGGTGCACGGGGAATTTCTACCCACAGTGCTCGAGTCTGGGGGTGCAGCAGGGCCCCCACGTATGCCCTGGGCACAGCACCTACCTCGCTCACAGCGGGTGCCCATGAACCCTGGAGGGCAGATACATTCACCAACGTGGTCGTGGCAGACGCCGCCGTTCAGGCAGTCGGGACAGTCCTTCTCACAGGACGGTCCCCATTTCTTTGCGGGGCAGGCTGTGGGGAGAGCAGAGTGGGGGACAGGGTGGCACCAGGCCAGAGGGCAGGGTGTGGCTGGCTGTCCCCACGCCCCAGGGAGCCAGGGGACTGCTCACCTCTCACGATGAGGCGGTAGAAGGCACTCCACAGAGGGCTGTCCCCCATGAACGTGGCACTGTAGACACCATTTTCGCTGACGCTGACGTTGGGGAGCGTCAGGACGACGCGGTCACCCTGCACCTCACCCCGGTCTGTGGTCTGGTAGTAGGTACCTGCAAGGGGACAGAGGGTTATCCATGACCTCCCGTGCCTCCAGGGCCAGTGCCAGGCACAAGCTGAGAGTAGCCCCAGCCCTGTGCCTGCTCTCAGGACTACTTGCCATTTCTTTTCCACATAACATCTGTCTCCTTCCTCTTGAGGATCCTGGCAGAGAAGGTGGCTGGCTCAGCAACATTCACAGACTGTGTGGCCTTCACTGGGAAGAGGTGGGCTGCAGAAGGGGAGGAGGAGGAGGAGCAGGTTGAGCAGTAGGGAGACACCCCCGGCACAGCCAAGCACCCACCACATACTTCTCCTGGGATGTCACGACACATCTCCCACTCCTGGGTCCGCTCCTGGATCCAGGACCCCCTCAAGCCTTTGCAGGGGCAGGGCTTCCTTCCTGGCCCCTCCAGTCCCCGTGGGCAGACACCAAGGAATGGGATGGGACACTCTGCCCTCTGACCAGCCCAGCAGCCCCAACATGGGATGCTGGTGGCAGCAGTCTGGGGATGTGACATCTGGGACAAGCTTGCATGGTACACTCTGCCTGCTGCTGGCTGGGGAGGTGTGGAGTGCTGCAGGCAGGGACATCATGGGCAGGTGGGGAGAATTAGGTGTGTGGGACGATGCACACCAGCCCCCAGGAGTGGCCGCCCTGTCACAGCTGTTTCCCTGATTCCCCGGCTGCTGGGGTGTGCAGCAGCACTGAGCTCCTGCAGTATTAATGTGAGTCAGCCAGACCCCAGCTTGAGCACAAACAGGGCTATAAATACCTTAAGGCCTGGGAAACCAAGCCCTGGGCGTGCCAGGACAGACACAAAGGAGGACACAGGCGGCTGCCGGCTTTTGGAGCCTGGCAGGACTCCAGCTTGCATTCACTAGAAGGAGCCACACCGGGTTGGAGCTAAAACACATCCAGCTTGTGTCCCACCCCACTTAGGCCAAGGACAGAGGAAGCAGCACATGCAGCAGGCGCCGGGGAAAGGGCACCGCAGGTCACACTTCTTGGTAAGTTCCCAGAACCGCCTCCCCACCTATCCCTCCAACTGGGATCTTTCTTCACTGGACTTGGCAGTCCCTTGTAAAGGGCACACAGATGTGGCCCCTGTTCTGTCTCACTCCAGCTCACTCCCTGGAACAAGAGCCAACAGTTCCCTAGGGATCTCCAAACACAGCCCTTTGTGTTTGCCCACACCGATTTACCTGTCACTCCATCACTGCAGCCCTCCTAGGGCATGGCTGCTTGTTCACTTCTTTGTGCCCACAATCAGTAACACAAGTCCCTGCAGAGACCTTCTGCCATGCCAGGGGGAGTTGATGGGAACTCCCCCGTGTGACAAGAACCACTCCTTTTCTTGATCTCCCTTCTTTATCCATGCAAAGTTATTTACCCATGCAAAGTTACCCATACCAGTTATTTACCCATGCAAAGACCTCTTCTGCCACCGCCTGGGTGCAAAGTTTCTCTCAAAGAACCTTTGAAAAGGAATTTTCCCAGTTTTCTCCAGGAACCCAAGCAGACTGGAGTCTGCTGGAGTCCACTGGGTCTTCCATAGCATCCTCACTGCTGCCATCCCAGAGACTCTCCCACTGCAAACTCATCTGTCTTTTTCTCAGGGGCCACATAACCACAAATTCTGCTCCTTATTACAGTGTCTGCTAATTTGGTGAGTTCCAGTCTGGGTTTACAGGCCTCTAACTCACTACCCAGAAGCTTTCAGGAAAGGCTGGTGTCCCACGGGCAGTGGCTCACTGCATGCCTGACAATGTTGTGCTGCTCTGTTCCGCTATTTATCGCCTGTCTCCTGCTATCAACACTGCCATTTCAGACAGATCACCCAGCAAGTTTCCCCAGCTTCTCTATTGTGCACATGGATGCAAAACTAAAAGAAGTTTGGTTTTCTGTAATTGTTTTTCTGAGTGTCTTTCTGCTCTGCATATTGTCACAAATAGTTTACTGCCAGATGTAAACATTTCTGCAATTACTCCTCAGGATCTCTTTGGTCTACTTTACTTTGTTTTCATAGCAAAGCTTCCAAAATTTATCTTACTTCTTATGTTTTTGACCTTTCAGGAGGTGCCAGCTTTCCTCTAACAGCATTCTCCACCCACTGTTTCAAAGCCCTGGCCTGCCTGGTTGTGCTCTCAGGCTAAACAGGGGAGATGACACATGCCAAGCCCCCACAGTGGGTTCTGTACCCAGCCCTCCTGCCCCCTGCAAACATGTAATTTTTTTGCTTACTATTTCCTTTTTTTTTTATCTCTTCCTCCTCTAAATGGAGCAACGGCAGCTTCTTTGGAACTTGTAAAAGAGACACCTTTTTGGCACTTGTAACTCCCACAGGGGCTTGAGCCCAGGCACCGACCAGCACCATTTTGGCCTGGCTATCTCACCCCAGGAATGGGGGGCTGGCTGGGACCACCCCTCCATGGGAAAACACTGTCACACCAATGGAGACCCAAAACCAGCACCTCCATCTATGATTTAATCTGGTGGTGAAGAGCCCCCCCATACTCCTCACCCCCCACTGCTGGCTATGCCTCCCACACTGTCTCTGTTTGCCTCTGCTTCACTTCCTCAGCACCTCTGTGTCTCTTTGGTTGCTCAGACCAGCCTGCTCTATTTCCAACAGGACCACTGCCATTTTTAGCTTGAGCCTCTGACCGAAGGCACAGGCTGGGCCCTGCTCCTTGGGGGATGCTTGGACCCCACCAGCAGCCTCTGTACCCCAGCTTGGAGACACTAGAGCTGCTTGCTGAAGCTGTGTTTTAACACAGGGGAAACTTTTATCCTCTCCTCTTATTCTCAGCAAAAGGTCAACTGTTTTAGCTAAACTTACGAAAAAAGAGCTAAAAAGAATCCTGAGGCAAACACCTATCACAGAAAATCTCAGTCCTTATAGTTTTGCAAAGTCTCAAGCACAGAGGGAGCAGAGGTTGGAGGGGCAGTGTGGGAAAGTGCTGCCCCAGGTGGTATCTCTGCTACTAGCCAGGCCAGGGCTTTCGAGTTATATGGCCCAAATGGGAGTGGGAGATGAGCCCAGCACTGCTCTTGCCTACAGTGCACCCTGGCAATGCCTCTCAGCAAGGCCCACTGCTGGAGCAGTGACATGCTGCAGCTGGATGGTGTTTGTCAAGCTCCTGGGAGGCTGCCGAAGATATGCCCTGGCATTACCTCCTCCCTGTGAGCCTGCGGTGGAGACATGGGCTGGCACAACTCCGAAGGGCTGCCCCCCGCTCTGGTTAATGATTTCCAGACCCCACAACCTCCTCCAAGGGCGCCCAGCTTCCTTTTGGACCTTGCCCTGCTCCTAGGCACCATTATGAATCCAGACGGCTCCTCCGTAGGGCTTGCTCACTCTCCTCCAGCTGAACATTGTTCCCATCTCCACCCCGCCCGTGCTGGTGGACTCCAAACCTCACCACTGTCCCCCCACCACACTGGCTGGCATTGGGAGCAAAGCTCCCACGTGCAGGGAGCTCCCACGTGCACCCAGCTGGCAGGCAGGGCGTGCCCGCTGCCCCCCAGCCACTTACCATTGTGGCTGTTGTGCACATAGACCACCTGTGCCTGCTCGGTCGGGGTGCGCCCCAGGCAGTAAAGGATCCCCACCAGGTCGGCCATGGAGAAGCCCCTGGCCTGCACGTGGTTGCTGCGGTTGCGGTAGTTCTGAAAGCCCGTTTTGGGGTGCGTCATCACGATCTTGTTCTCCCGCTCAATCTGCAGGTAGCTCACGTCGTGCTCCCCCATGACACAGGAGAGGAAGAAGTCGGAGTGGGACAGGCTCTGCACATTGGCGATCAGGGTGATGTCCAGGATGGCCCCTGGGGTGGGGGAGTACGAGGGCACTTCACAGCTGGACAAGGGCACAGCCATCCCAGCCCTGCCTCGGGACCACTTCCCGTCACCCAGATGTCACCCCATTTCTGGGACATTTTTGCTGCCCCCAGCCCAGGAGGCACAGCCAGGGCACAGCAAGGTGTGTTGCAGACCCATTGGGGTGACAGAGTGGGAATTTCCACTCTCCTTTTGGAGATCCCGACTGTCTCAGCTCCCCACCATGAGTGAAGCTTGCATCCGAACGGGGGCCTTGGGGTGCCTGTCCTCCCATGCTGGGCAGAGGCAGGCAAGGGGGGGCACCGCTGGCCTCAGGTCTCTCAATGGCTGATCACAAAGGGGTATTTCTTCCCTCCAAACCCTGCTCTGATGGCACCACTGAGCTCCCACAGCTCCCTCATCCCACCAAGCCTCCCTGGGGCCGGGGCTGCTCACTGGGGCAGAGGGAAAGGCGCTATTTACCTGCCAGGCGTGGGAGGAGAAGCAGAAGATAAACCTGGAGTCCCATGTCCTTGGAGCGTGTTCTGAATCTGGCAGAGGTCAGAAAATCTCCAGCATGTCCCAGCCAACGGGGGTCAGCGCTGGAGGCTGTGGCTGCCTAGAGGCTCCAAGTAAGCGGCACCTCAGGACCCCTGCCCCCTGCCCGTGCCCCCCATCTTGCTTCCACGCTGCTGCTTGACATCCAGGGCAGCCGAGACCACCTTCTCTGGTGCATAGCCTGGGCACGGAGAGAAAGATGCCTCTGTTCCTGCTTGCTCAGTGGCCAGCCGCCCACTCCTCCAGGGCTAGGGCTGTGTGATCAGCATTCCCTGAGCCATGCTGAACCCCCAGCCCGCCAGGAGGTGCCTCACGCCCCAGCCCAGCCAGGCGGCAGCATCCCCATCCCCTCGGTGCAGCCCCGCGGCTGATGGCTGTGGGAAGGGCTCTCTGGAGCAGGGAAAGGAAAGGGGCCAAGGGGCCGTGGCTGGTGGCGGCGGCGGAGCCAAATCCTGTTTCCCATGCGGCGTTTCCTGCTCTCCACCCATTGTTTGGAGACAGCCCTGACTCCAGGAGCCGGCGGGAGCTGCCCTGCACGGCTGTCCCCCGGGGAGCGGCGTGCGGCGGAGCTGAGGCCGCGCACACCTCGCAGGCCTCGGCCTCCCGCCGACACGGGCCGGGTGCCGAAGAGCGGCCACACCTGGGCTCCGTGTGCCGGGCAGGACTCACTCCTGCAGTGGCCCATCAAGGGAACACTGCCCGGGCTGAAAGGGGCTGAGTGGGAGCACAGGCAAGGCAACAAAAATCCAGCCAGCCCACACCGCAGGGTGGCCTCTGCCCAGGCAGAAAACCCTCCATGTTGCCGTAAACATGTCTGGGAGGAAGCGGAAAGTGGCGGAAAACCTGGCTTTCCCTGAGTGCTTTCCCATGCACGGTGCTGGCACGGACACGGCACAGCACGACCTTGCTGCCCCCACAGCCCCAGAGGGTCTCAGTCCCGGCCTTCCAGGGAGGCTGTGCCAGACACCGGTGGGGTCCGGGCTCGTTGCCTGGCAAACAAAAAGCATTCCCTGGGAAATCACCGTAAGCTTCACCCGCCAAACCCAGTGCTGCTTCACAAATCGAACTGTTCCCATATGAAACCCAGGGCTGCCAGGGAGCGAGCCTCATGTTTTGGTGTAGCATGAGCCCATGCTGTATCCGGCCAAAAATCTAAAGCACACATGGAGAGGAAAGGGAAATCCATTCATCGCTTCCGACTATTTACAGAGTGCTCTGGGGCCACGCAGTGCCCATGGCATGCTGAGGGAGGGATGGCAGTGGGCAGGGGCTCCCCCAGTGCAGCCACTCCGCAGCAGGAGGGATGGGGAGGATCCGACAAGGATGAACACCAGTTGCAGCTGACCCCATTTGCCTGGAAAACAAAGCATGGTGCTTTGTCATGGGCTATGCATGGGCAAGGGATTGTTTTTAGGAGACCCCCTGGGCACTTGAGGCACAACCACAATGTAAAGGCAGAGCACAAGGCCATCCCACAGCAGGATGTGCAGAGGGTGGGCAGCTGGGGTGGTCCCTCTTGCTGTTAGTGTCTTCCTGGGGAACCCCACATCCCCATTTTCCTCATCAACCCCAAGCTCATTTGCAAGTGCATTTGGACTCATGTGCACACTCAGTAAAGAGGACAGATACAGGAATAGATAGGTAAATGGTTTCTTCCCCTTGTTTACTGGCTGTAGAGGACAGTCATGCTCAGAACCATAAGCACCATCGTGCCCCTGCATGTTTACATGTGCTGTGCCTGGGGAATCATCTCATTCTGTGCTCGCCTGGTAGCTGTGAGGGAGTGCATAACACAGAGCCTGAGTTACGATTCACTCTGTGAAATGTTCTCTGTCATGAGGATCTATTTGAGAATGGGATCTATTTGAGAAAGAACACACACACTTTATGGGAAGGCTTTGAGACCATAGGCTCCGCAGTGTGCTCCTCCAGGGAGCACAGTGTGGCCCCTGTGGCTGCCCGAGGGGAGCCCGTGCAGTGCTTTGCCTTTTTGGGGAATGGGAGCCACTTTGGGGTCACTCTCTGCACCAGGCGATGCCCAGGGGATCTCAAGGATCCATTGAGGGATCTGACCCAAGCTGATTTGTCCACTTGCTTTTTTTTTCTAGGAGCACCTGGATAAGACCTGTGCTGTCTGTGCAGATCCCTTAGGTTGGAGGTAGGCTGAGATACCTCTCTGGGGAGCTTTGTGGAGATGCTCAACCAGGACCCTACAGCTTATAAATCTCCAGAGGAGGAACCAGAGAGATAGGTACAGCTGAGCACAGCCAGAGCAGCTCCTCACACGTGCTCTCCTGTAACATGGAAAACTCCAGTTGCCCAACTCACAGCACACTGAAAGCACCTGAATTTCTGCTGAATTTTTAGACCTCAACTTTTTTTGCTGAATCATGACGGACTAAAAAAAAACCCCAAAGACTGATAAAAATACTCCTTTTTGTTATCATTTGCACGTTCTAATGCACGGCACCACATGCCAGAAACCATAACGCACCGATACGTTTCCTGATAGGAAATGCAAACGCCCTGCAAATCCACTGAGGGACTGGGCTGCCCCAGCAACATTTTCTAGCCCTGCTTCTCTAGATGCTTCTTTTGTTTTACATGTGCAGTGGGGCCTGGGGAGGCCACACAAGCTGGGCTAAGGGCTGCTGCCACCAGATGTAGGAGCATCCCAGGAGCAGGGTGGCCGAGCATCCCCAGCCCACCTGGTGGCATTGGCAGGGCAACTGGGGAGCAGGAGCTGCCTGGCTGTGTTGGCATCCAGCACATGCTTACAGGATGAAGGACAGGCTGCTGGGAAGCCCTCTCCCTGAGGAAAGGGTGGGACATGTGGTTGTGGAGAAGCCCTTTGGCAGCTGGGGGAAGAGGGGCCGCCCTGTCCCCGTCACCGATGGGTGGAAACTGTGGCTCCTCAGTGCTCTTGTTGGCAGGCGGCTTCCTGTCACTGAGCAGGAGTGGGACCAGGGAAGAGAGCCTGGGGCTCCCTCTTCCTGCAGAGGCAAAGCCTGGAGCAGGTGCTGCCAGCACTTCCCCTGCCTGGGCTGTGGCTCTGCCAGCCCTCGCCCACTCACCTGCCCCAGCACCCGTGGGCATGGGAGCAGATCTCTCACCCAACCTTGCACCAACAAACACCCATGAGATGCTGCTTTGACAAGATTTCCCAGACTTTCACTGACTCCATGGCAGGTCTGCAAGGGGGGGTGCTGGAGGTGGTGGGGCACTCCCATTCTCTGGGACCTTCACAGCCAGGTGCTGCTCACTGAGCTGCTGCTGGGCCCAGACACCTGCCAGTTTGCTGCATGTTTTAAACACCTTTCTGCCTGAATCTCAATAAGACTTTTATTTTCCTATAGGACACTTTCCTGCTGCCTCAGCCCCAGCTTGTCTGTCTGAGGCTGGCTGTGTGCTCCTGCCCTGGGTGTGTGGAGCCAGGACACAGCAGCCAGCACAGCACCTGGGCCAGGCTCAGGCTGCTCTCCTTGAGCACAGCATCTCGGGGCAGATGCCACAGAGGTGCTTCCTCCCCCTCCTTTGGCCCCCCAGCACCTCCCAGTGTCCTGCTCCCACCCAGGCAGTCCCATGGCATCCCATGGTCCACCAGGCAGATGCTGGTGGTCCCCTGGTCACCGATCACAGGAGGCCACAGGGGTGGGAGGTGGCGGGGTGCGGTGGTTAATGTGTAACTGGCACTGCCACCTTTCACCCGCGCCCAGCTCGGGAGGGAGTGGGGCAGGGCAGCAGACAGGCTGGCTCCCAGGCTCTGGTGGTCTGCAGGGCTGTGCCACCAGGCTGCAGGGGCTCGGTGGGGGCCCTGGGCCGTGCGGCCGCGGCCACACCTCGCCCACCACAGCCGGCTCTGCCGGCTTCCCGGCTTTCCCTGAAACTTGTTTTTCTGCCCGGACGTTTCCTGGAGCCAAATGGCTCCTGCCTGCCTGCTCGGGGTCTGCAGCCTCCTCTGTGCCTGGGCAGTGGTGACAGGACATCCCTGCAGCCTTGACCACCAGGTAGGAGGGCAGAGGGGGCTCTGGTGTGGGCAGCAGTTGGGGGTGGGCAGGGGAACCCTGCTCCTGGTCCTGCCAGCACAGCTGGGGTGCCCACAGGGCAGCAGAGCCTGGCAGGTAGCTCTTGGTCTGCACAGATCAAGAAAAGATGAGCAGTGAAAACCCATGGGAGCCAGTGGAGTTAACTGGGAGATGTGCTGTGCCAGTGGCCACCAGCCACAGGGGTGGTTCACCCACACCTAGAGCCTGGCTGTCCTGCTCCCAGCCTCAGGCTGAACACATTGTCCAGCCTGTTCACCAGAGCACACAACCTGTTCACCAGAGCATGGCAGGGCTGACAAAGCCTCATCTGAGCCATGGATGCTTGGTGCAGGTGCCCACAGCTCTGCAGCCCAGCTGGCTGCCTGCCTGCCCTTCCAATGGGCAGGGCTCGCCTGCTTCCTTGCCCAGCTGGGAGGATGCCCTTGTGTCATGGTTTTCCCCCCAGCCCTGCATGCTCCTCCTTTACTCCTTCTGTCAGCTGCTCTCAGTCCTGGGCTGTCCTGCTCATCTTTCTCTATTTATTCAGGCCCACACCAATCTGGCAGCTCATGTGTTTTTTGTGAACTTGCTTGTGTCTTTGCTTTTCATAAATTCTGCAAGAATAATTAATTTGAACTTCTGGGGAGTCTCACTCTAGAGATACTCCCCAGCAAGGACAGCCCATCTCAGACAGTAGCTCTTTTCCCAGGGATGGGCCGACTGCAGTGGGAAGAGCCTTCAGCACACTCCAAGCTCCCTTCCAAGAAACATCACCAGTTTGGACCTCTCCTTCAACTCCTTGGTCGTGCCCCGTGACAGGACTCTCCTGATGCATTTCCCTTCCCTGCGCTCTCTCAACCTCTCTAGCAATGCCATGCCAACGCTGAGTCCAGCAACCTTCTCCAACCTCAGGGAGCTGCATCTGCTGGACCTGAGCAGCTGCAGCATCACCTCCCTCCACACGGACACTTTCCAGGGCCTGGGAAACTTGCACACGCTGCTCCTACGAAACAACAGCTTGCGAGAGCTTGATGTCCCTTTCCTCCTGCCACTGAAGGCTCTTTTCCACCTGGACCTGCAGCACAATGAGCTGGTCTCCGTGGACACTTGGAGCCTGCAGCTGATGGAGACAGTCCCGCAGGTCCGTCTGGAAGGGAACCCCTGGGTCTGCGACTGCACCGTGCACCCCCTGCAGCAGTGGCTGCAGCGCAGGAAAGGTGAGCAGATGGGGCGGGTGGCAGGAGAGGTGTCGGGCAGGAGGAACCCTGGGTTAGGGGTCCTGCTTGATCCTTTCACTCCGACCCCTGGACAGGCTCTGAGATGGCTCTCCAGGGACCTAGCAGGATAATTTAGTCACTCTTCCAGGAAAAGGGCTGCATGTACACTTCAGCCACTAAATCCATCTTTATGTAACTTTATGGAGTGACCACATTTTCAAAAGCTGCAGAGGGCTTGGCAGCTCTTCCTGTGGAGCCAGATCAGGCTCCAACCATCTGAGCTCGGCTCCCATCATCTGAGCTCGGCTTCCAGGGCAAAGCAGTGCAATTCCTATCAGTATCCATGATTTTGGCATTATTCAATTAAAAGGAGCCTGCTAATCACAGTCACACACTTGCACAGTTCCTTGGTCAGGGAATTTTTCCTTTGATTGTGTCTTGCAATATGCTGAGGGCTGGTGAGGCTGGAGGGCAGAG